TGGACACATATATACTATCTCCATTTACTACTCATTCTAATCTTAATATAATATGTATATTTTTTCATTCAACTGTTGGCAGCGTCAAAAATATTAATATTACGAATAAAACCATATTAATTAAATATAATATAATAAAAATTTATAATAAAAATAGATAGCATATTGTAATAATTCAATAGCTAAAGAATATATATTATATAATGAAAAGGTTTTCTAGAAATCCTGAACGACAAGCTGTATAGGTAAAAAATATTAACTGAGAAGATTGAATATCAACAAAAAATAATTCACTTCTTTGCGAAGTTAGTATGTTTGAATTTTTTACAATAAAATGAATGAGATATTTAATATAATTAAAATAAATATTTTTATTATGAATATCATTAATATTATTAGTATTTACAAATAGTACGTATATAATTGTTATCATCAATATTTATAGATTTTCAAATATTTCAGTTACTCTAATAAGTTTTTAATAAGAAATATTTTAAAAAGTTTATGTATTCATTTTTCCTATCTGAATTTATAAGGTTAAGTTTGAATTGAAGCGGCCATAAATGACAGACCAATCAAAAGTTATCTCTCTCGTGTCCAGACTCTAGTATAGGTCTCTACAATGAACATATTATATTAGAAGCTGTAAGCTTATTGGTTACTACGTCGCATTTTGCCGCATGGCAAGTGTTTCCGCATCCAGTGTGTGCTAAGTCATAAAATAAACTTATTAGGGCTTCTATTGAGGAGTGACTTTGTAGCGCCACAGCGAGTTTGTAGCGCCTACAGAAAAGTGAATATATTCGCGACACTTTTCTGTAACGCTACAGAATAACTCTGTATGAACAGGTCGGCGCTTTCGATTTTGGCACTACAAAGTCGCTCATTTTAGAGTTCCTCTAGTAAGAGTTAAGACATAAGACCGGAAGGATGCCATTGCCGGGTGCAGAAACAGCAATTCCATCATGGTTGACAGTTAATAGATTTTGCGTTCGCGCCTTCTACATCATGAAATAGTTGTTCATACCAATTCACAGATTCACTACCACATTGAAAGTATCTGCAAAGCGGCATTTAAAGGGATTCGAAATCTGACCAATCAGAGATCGGTACTCCTTACTAGAAGAATTTTAGCTCGTCTGTAGGAACCCTTATATATCCTACATGTAACTATATTAATTATATTATTAAAATTTCATGTTTTATTCTGTATTTTATCTCATGTTTTTATTCTTTAATATTTTTTATATAAAAATTGTTTATATTAAAATTAAAATTAAAGAGAATTTAAGAAAATTTATTAATTATAACTGTAGGAATAAAAAAAAATCGCATGAATGTATATATTATGATACAATAATCTTTTATTAAATTTCACCTACAAACAACGAATCACAGAACGTTACATTAGAGTTCCTTACGTCAATCCATCGTGTTTTCATATATTTTACAGGTAAATAATTATGTATTTATCTCTATTATAATAAAGTCTTATTTGTTAAAATATCTCGTAGTGTAGTGGATTGTTATGTATATGTAAATTTAATTTACCTAAAAATAGGATTTCTGTTGTAGTGTCCATTCATTGTTTATAAGTGTCCATTATCATGTATAGAAGTGGTATACTATAGGTACTTTTGTCCATTGTACTCTGATATATCTTCTTTTTTTATCATTATTAATATTATCATTAATAATATTATTACTATTTCCCGCCGATACATTGTATTTGAAATATGATAAAAGTCACCACGTACCAAAGAACTTTTCGCTGATAAAATTACAAAATTCAATTCGTCACAAAAACGATGTTAGGACTTTATATGTAAAGGGTTTTTAAGTACCTGGACAAAGTGACGGCATTTACGATTACAAATCGCTAGAACTTTTATATGCATCTTTTTTTTTGTTAGAAGGCAACACGTCTTTGTTAATACGAGAAGGCAATTTGCTTTGTATCATCGGTATATCTGGTGTCCCAAAAACATCGGATTGATCTGACAGCACCATAGCGTGGCTCGATTCGAAGGACGTCGATTCGAGCGACAAGTGCAAAGGGACCATTTACAGGCATTATTGGCAGCACTGGATCACTGTTCAAATATACTGTTATAATTCGTTTCTCCGATATATCCCGAAGCTGTAATGCGACAAATCGGCCTGTATACGCGCGATCGGCCATTAGTCGTCGCGCGTGATCTAGATAGACGCTCCTTATCCGCTCTTTTTTCCACCGTCTATTATTTCATTTTCTCCCGAATAATTATCACGGGGATAACCAGCGTTACATTCATCCTAAACGTAAATAATATTTTTGACGATTTCCTCTTTATGTACAAAACTTAGAGCTATATAGGATACACTTGCACTCGCGCGCGTCACGCGTCCCGGGGCGCCAATAAGTTAAATTTTACTCTAGAGTTATGCATTTTTATTATTACGTTTCCCGTGCGTCGGGCGGACTTCTCTCTGTATTGTACGTGCGACGTCTCTGATCAGTCTGAGCATACGAGACCAGCAATATACTTGCGTATATATATATATAT